TCCCACAAAACCTGAACTCTGCATTTAACGGGGCCCAGAAGCTAAAGATGGACGCCTCCTTTTTCCGCCTGTTCTAAAAATATAGAATGACTTTGTGTTTTTATGTGACTGTCGATGCAAATAAAGAAGCGGAAAACCAAGAGAAGTTTATAATCTAGCTGAACTCGGAGTGCACAAAAAGGTGAAAGGTGTTGTGGAGCACTATGAAAGGCACAAGATGGCAGCAGTGCACTCTGACAGGAGGAAGGCGGTGCACTATGTATACTTTAAAGTGGAACTTGGTGCACTATGAAGAGTTTAAGGTGGAATGCTGTGCACTTTGAAGAGTTAATGGCTGGACAAAGGGCACTACAAATGGTTTTACTAATAAAGTTGCACATTATTAAAGGTTTAACGAGGAAAACAGTGCACTGGCAAGGGATGAGTGGAAGGTAGTGCACTCACCTTGTTTTAGGAAGAAGATAGCACACTACAAAAAGCCTGAAGTTGTGCACTGGGCACTGTTAGGATATAAAGGTCGTGCATTAAAGTTTCGAGTTGCAGACGGTGCACTACAGAAGGCAATGGGTGCTCTTTGAGACCTCGCCTTGTTGCCACCTGGCAAATCCAATTAACCGATCAAACAGTGTTATTTGTACAGAACTAACAGCTGCTAACTGACTGCTAACAGCTCTCTGTCGTTGTTTGTAATAAACTTCATTTTTCATCCAAACAGTCTGTCTGTGGTCAGTTTGAGTCCCGATACCTCAGATTGTCAACTTTTTTTTTTTTTTTTTTTTTACTGTTTTCTGACTGTAAGACTTTGTTTTTAATAATAGCTGGGGATAGTCTTTGGAAATGTCTTAACGGATTTAAAAAATAAATAAAAGTGGTACTCGGTTGGAAAAGGGTGGATTACACTCTATGGGTTGGGAGTGAGGTTTCGCCTCAAGTGAAGGAGTTCAAGTATCTTGAGGTTTAGTTCATGTGAAGAATGGGGCATGGAATTGACAGACAGATTGGTGAAGCTACTGCTGTATTGCGGACTCTGTGCCGGTCCGTTGTGGTGAAGAGGGAGCTGAGTTGTAAGGTAAAGCTCTACCAGTCAGTCTATGTTCCTCACCTATGGTAACAAAAATTAGATATTATTATTATTATCATTATTAGACCTTTATTTATACAGGTTAGTTCCCACTGAGCCTCGAAGACTCATTTACAAGAGAGACCTGTTACATACAACATACAGGCAGAGGAGAAAAAGAGAACACGAGGGTGGAGGAAGCTAAAAAAAATCATGTCTTGCATCATGTCCTGGCTGGGAAACAGTGTAAAAGATCAACAAAGTCCATGCTCAATAATCCAGGTATACAATCCAACATTTTTCAGTCATGTCATCTGGACAGTTTCTTTTTTTGTGTGTGTGCTGAAACGTTTTGCCTTCGGTCCGGAAGGCTTCATCAGTCAAGGAAACACACAACAAAACTGATTCTTCCCCCAACAGCTTACTCCAAAGTGGAACAAACCAGTACTGCTTGTGATAAGATGGTCTCTTTGGTACCATTGCTAGCCCTCTTCCTTGTTGACAGTCTTGTCAAACTGGTTGAAAACAACAAAGTCCATGCTCAATAATCCAGGTGTACAATCCAACATTTTTCAGTCAGGTCATCTGGACAGTTTCTTTTAAAAAAATAAACTGTCCAGATGACCTGACTGAAAAATGTTGGTGTGTAAAAGATGCAAAAAAAGACCTCGCAACATAAAACAGAAATATACAATGACATCATCATTATGCATAGAGGTCGACAAAGGCGGTGAGTTGTGCATAAACACTCCAGAGTTCCAAAGTTCTGATAAGATGGTACAGTGTCTATCAGCATCATGGTTCTGATAAGGCCACAGATGTCCTTTGGAGTGTGTGTGTGTGTGTGTGTGTGTGTGTGGAGTGGGGGGGGGGGGGGGGGTTTTTTATTTTTCCTCTCCCCCATGAGAAACGTGAGGTATTATACATACAAGTGAGATCAAAATGTGTTTCCTCCGCAGGGTAGCTGGACTCTCCCTTAAGGCTCCAGTGTACTCGCGCGTCCTGTCAGCCGTGCGGAAACTGTGCGCACTGTCCGCAGAGGGTTGAGACTTCATACTTGAGCGTCCATCCTGAGCGGCTGCAACCTGCTCCGCAGACAAGAGGCATTTACCTTTGGGACAAATTGAGGTCGCCGATTGGTCATTTGCTGACACGCCTACTGGATTGATTGACAGGTCGCAAAAAAAAAAAAAACTAAACGAGAGCTGGCAGCCTCAGCCGCAGCGGTGTTCTGTGTTTATATGTTGTTAATAAAAGGTTCTAATTTCTTTTTTTTTTTAAACAGGGAGCGCTGGCCCTGCAAGCCGACTGTGTCATTAATAGTCACTTTTACCTATTACATGACACAACGGCATGCCATTCTAATCGAGTGCCATCTAGAGGCTGAAAATTGTAGTGTTCAATATTTTCCATGTCAGAATGAATAAAAATGGTCATATCTCAGTCAAAAATTGGTTTATAAATACGGGAATAAAAACATAAATAAGTCACTTGGGCGTATAAGTCACAGGGTATGCTAATCAGGCAAAAAGGTGCAACTTATAGACCGGAAAATACGGTATTCATGGGACAGATGGTTGGCAGGCTATAGACTGATGAAGTCTTTTGGATGGAAGACGAAACGTTTCTCCCTTAAAGAAACTGGTCCAGATGACATGATTTAACCTTTGTTGTTGTTGCATAAAGACTTTAAAGATCTTCAACAGGCCTTTCCATCTGAGATGGAGCATGAATTGTTTATCAGCTTGAATCAGCAGATGTCAAGTATCAGCAGATGTCAAGTGTTCAGTTTGGGCTCAGGAGCAAAGTGTGCCATTATGCAATATTAAAAAAAAACAAAAAAACTAAAGCTCAAGTGGGTCATAAGCTCTGTGCTGTCAAAGTGCAACAATTGCTCCATTAGAAAATAAAAAAAACATTCATAAACGTAACATTTCCTGCACTGTGAAATAGTAAGTAAAAGTTGTTTCAAATTTCATGTTGAGTAAGTTTCTTGGCAAGATCTTTATTAGTGTAAAACCTGACGTGGAGACTGATAAGAGGCAGCTGTAAAGGAATTAACTGATTTCACCAAATAAACAAGCTGAGCTCAAACTTGGACACAAATTCTAATGTGCAAAAAAAAAAAAAAAACGACGTTAACCCTAAAAACACTGAATGAATTTTAAATGGATCCATTTACTTCGTGACAAAACAGATCAGATGTCAATATGGCAAAAACACTAAAAAAGTTTGCTTTTTCAAATTATGGCTTATGTAACAGAAAAAAATAGTACATGAAAAAATGATAAAAAGCGTAAACTTCTAAGATTTGATGTTTCTGACATATTCAAATGAAACTACAGCCCACCATTGCCCATCACTGAAAGGTCTGAACAGATTTCATTGAAAATGATTACCGTATTTTTCGGACTATAAGGCGCACTTTAAATCCTTAAATTTTCTCAAAAACCAACAGTGAGCCTTATACCGTATTTTCCGCCGTAAACGTCACTTCGCCCTATAAGTCGCATCAGTCCAAATATGTTTAATAAAGTGGAAAAATCCATAAATATGTCGCTTTGCCATATACGTCGCATCTATTATGCGTCATCGCTGACAACTCAAAATATGGGCTGGTGTTGAGCCAAAAATCAATTGGCTGCAAAATGGCGGCCGCTGGGGCATGCGGGGGAGGACTTTTAAAAGAATTTAACAAGATTAACACTTAAAAACAATTACTGGTTTGCTCGAAATTAAAGCAAAGGTGTGTCTCAGTCTACCTTTTGCTTAATAAATGCACTTTGACAATCAAATCAGCTGCATTTCAAAAGCCGATACGCGGCTGTAAGCGCGTGCACGGGGCGAGTCGCTGAGCAAATTTAACAAGATAAATACCTAAAACAATTATTTGTTTGTGCGACATTATAGCAAAGGTGTGTCTCAGTTGAACTTTTACTTAAAACAATGCACTTCAGTGGTCAAATTAGCTGCATTTCACTGGGGTGGAGCAGCGAAATGAAGCGGATTTGACTGTTGCTTCAAGCGAGCTGGACGAAGGAGGCAGGCTAAGGCAAGCCGATTGTGTCATTAATAACCATTGTTACCTATTACATGACACAACGGCATGCCATACTACTCTGGCACCATCTAGCGGCTGAAAATTGTAGTGTTCAATATTTCAGTAAGAAAATTAAGTAAAAATCTGTTTATAAATATGGAAAAAAAATCCATAAATAAGTCCCTTTGGTGTATAAGTCGCAGGGCATGCAAATTATGCAAAAAAAGTGACATATAGGGCGAAAAATGCGGTAATCAGGTCTGCCGTATGTATTAATTCTGGTTGTGGTTACCGACCTTGAAACAATTTTATGTGGTTATTGTGAATGAGTTGAATAAAGTTTGACTTATCCGACTGTTTTGTTTCACTTAATGTGCCTTATAGTCCGAAAAATACAGTAGACTTTGAAGCCAGCTCAATTCAAGATGGCCGCCACAGCCAACTTGATCTAAAACAAAAAACACAAAAAAATGGCAACAGTTCAGTCAGTTTTACAGATGTTGAGCTAAAGTTTGGTGTGGCAGTAGCTGAGAGTCATTCACAGCACATACTCTGAGCGCCAATAAATGGTGTGAAATCTTGCAATGGTTTAAGGCCGGTGACATCATTTTACAGCAGGGAGTTTCTTTTTTTCTAATTTAGATAAGCAATAAGAGAGATAAGATTTGAAATGCTTATCGTCGTCACGTTCACATTTAGGTTCAAAGATTCCTTCAGCTAAATACATTTAAGCTGAAGTCGCCTAAAACTGTAATAACTAAACTACAAAGCTGCTGTTTCATTAATGTGATGGTGTTTTGTTTTTTTTCTGATGTGAGTCTGGCACACATGCAGCAGTGTTTTATTGTGAAAAGCTGCTCAGAGTTCACAGCTTCACTATTACATAACATGAAATGAAAAAAAATAACGCCAGAAGTGGATCACAGAGACGGGGAGAAGGGGCATAAAGCAGGCCGTGCTCGTGGTTACTCTGTCTTTTCTGCGGCAGACGTGCGCACGAGAAGCACAAGTCTCGCAGACCAGGACGTCAACATGCAGGCTATTATTTCAAGGAACGGATCAGAAACTTCCGAACCCGTGAAAGCTCAAGTGAAAGGTGAGTTTATGGATTATTAATCTGAGGAAACTAAACATGAGCAGCTTGAACAAGCTTGTTTTTGTGTGATCCTGAAGAGCCTCGACTCTTAATTAATTTGATGAAGCCTGATTTTTTTTTCCCCCTACAGTGCAGCTTAAAAGCAGTTGATGATAAACAGAAGTTTTACACTTAAGAAGAGCAGTTTATAATAAAGGCACAACAATTCACAAAATAAAAGTGAAACGGGAATCAGTCCAACCTGCTCTGTGGGGCTTTTTTTCATTCAACCTTTATTTATACAGGTTAGTCTCATTGAGCCTCGAGGACTCATTTACAACAGAGACCTGATTTAAACAATGAACACACACGAGGTACAAACAACAATCATATAAAAGAAATGATGTCAGAGTCAGAGAGATTTATTTGTCATTCGCACCACATGTGGAACACGTGGTGGAACGAAATTATGTACACAGGGTCCCAGTTACATCCAACAATAAAACGTAAACAAAAAACAGTAATGACATCTAAGATATGAACTAAGAAAAACATTAACTAAATATACACTAAGCACTCGTAGCATAAAAACATTACGTCAAACAGCAGCACGAACATGAGTCTGTGTGAGCAGATGAGCACGCATGAACACAGCAACATGAAACAGATCAGCAGCAACATGAAACAGATCAGCAGCAACAAGATGTGATTTTTCACAGTGATTATTCTGGTTAGAGATTCACGAGTCTAACAGCTTCAGGGTAGAAGCTGTTCCTCAAGTCAGGCTGGTGGTGTTGTTGCTCCAGCTGAGGTTGTCATTCAGGTGTACACCCAAGTACTTGTACCTGGAGACCACATCCACTGAAGATCTTCCTGTGTTCAGTGGGGTGTAGGTGAGTTTGTTCCTTCTGAAGTCCAAGATCATCTTCTTTGTATTCTTCACATTGATGTGAAGGTTATTCTCTTTGCACCAGCTCTCCAGGTGTTCCACCTCCTGCCTGTAGCTGGACTCATCGTTGTTTATGATGCATCCCACCAATGCTGTATCATCTGCAAACTTTACAATATGACAGCCTGGATGGGTAGCTCAGCTACCCATCCAGGCTACTGTAGCTGCACATGAGCAGAGTAAACAGGAGGGGGCTCAACACACATCCCTGAGGAGAGCCAGTGCTGTGGGTTATGGTGGAGGAGAAGTTGTGGATCCTCACAGACTGTGGTCTGTTTGTTAAGAAGTCTAGTGCCCAGTTGCAAATGGAGGGGCTTAGTCCTAGTGTGAATAGTTTGTCCATCAGGGTTTGGGGATCATGGTGTTGAAGGCAGACGTGAAGTCCATAAAGAGCATACGGACGTAGGAGTCCTTCTGCTCCAGGTGGTTGAGCGCAGTGTGGACCACAGAGGAGATGGCATCCTCTGTTGATCGGTTCTCACGGTATGCATACTGATGAGGGTCCTCGTTGATGTTGATGGTTGTTTTGATGTGAGTCATGACCAGTTTTTCAAAGCATTTAGCGACTATCAGGGTGAGGGCCACTGGCTGATTTAGACCATCATTTAGACCAGTCACTGCAGAGCTATTTGGGACTGGGATGATGGTGGCGGTCTTCAGGCAGGTGGGAACTGTCTCCAGGGTAAGTGAGGTGTTAAAGATGCATATCGCAGAGCTGATCGGCACATTCTTTCAACACACACACACACACACACACCCTACAGCTCCTGCAAGTAAGGGGCATTTCACTTTGGGACAAACTGAGGTCGCTGACTGGTCAGGTGACGAGCCTACTGGACTGAGTGACAGGTGGCGTTGAGGATCTGACTCGTGCAAAAAAAGGAAAAAAAAAATCATAGACTTTATTGGCTCGTTTAAAACTGCCATCATTTATTTCATATTTATTCCAAATGTATTCAATAGTTTGGTGAATCTCAGGTTTGAGAACTGAGTTTCTTTACAAAATCTTTAGGATTGTTTCTAAAATTTTCAGGGGTGCTAAGTTAAAATTTAGCGTTGCTTGAGCATCCTCAAAAAGGGGCTAAAATCGCCACTGACCTGTAATGACAAATTATCAAACGAAATGGCAGAAAACAGCTAAAACTAGCCATTTTTTTGTCGTTGGTATAAGAACCAATGAAATTCCGTTTTATGTTTTTATGAGTGAGCCCCTGCAGAGGGACCAAAGGTTGCAGACCCCGGGTCTAAACAGTCGAAAAGCATCAGGCAGTTAAATAAACTGTGATCAAAGACGCCCAGAGGCTGTTCCACACACACGAGTCATTAAGAAGAACGTTCATCTCTGCTTTGAGATGAATATTTTCTAAATGAAAACAGATTACCTGGTTTCGTGTTTGACCTTTGACCTGCAGGATCAATCCCTTCCTGGCTGCAGGGCACGCTGCTGAGAAACGGACCCGGCCTGTTCTCTCTGGGCAACTCCACATACAACCACTGGTTCGATGGCTCGTCGCTCATCCACAGCTTCACCTTCAGCGGCGGTCAGACTTAGATAAACTGTCAACATGCAGTTGAAAGATCACCATATCCCAAATAAAACAACAACAAAAAAAAAACTTTTAAAATGTGGCAGTGAGCTTTTGTTTTCCAGCGTGAAGAGATAAATGTCGTGCTGTTTCAGGCGAGGTGACTTACAGAAGCAAATATCTGAAAAGCGACACCTACAGGAGAAACATCAAGGCAGACAAGATCGTCGTCTCCGAGTTTGGGACCATGATTTACCCGGATCCCTGCAAAAACATCTTCGCCAGGTGACAGTACATTCAGAACATGGAGAAAGATTTTATACGAGCCTTTTGTCAAAACTGAACGCCTAGGTGCATGTCAAACACAAAGAGCCAAGTTAAAGACAATTCAGAACATGCAACATATGAATGCGTTCAGATGTGTTGCATACATTAAAGGTAGAAATAAAACCACTTTAGTATCAGTACACACCTTAAAAACATTCATTTTAGTAATTTATGGATGCGGGTGTTCAGTTTTTGCATCAAGGCTAATACTGTAGGTCTTCACTTCATCCCAAAACTCCCCAGATCTCCGTTGCAAGTCATTGTTCAGCTATTACAGATAAATATGTATCTAATCGTGTAGGTTTGTGTTAAACCGTGTACATCTGTTTAGACCATCCACATGAAAGAATATTTAATAGTTTTAGTCCAGGGGCGTTCAGTCCTGGTTCTCTAGGGCCACTATCTTGCATGTTTCAGACATTTCCTTGTCCGAATCACCTGATTTGAATCAATGGGTGGTTAACATGATTTTGCAGAACATGAAGCGGCAATTGAGCTATTGAATCCATGGAACTACATCCAGGAGATGAAAATTTTAGTCTAAATCCATTTGAATATCCAAGTCAGGTCATCTGGACAGTTTCTTTTTTTTTTTTTGTTGTTGAGACGTTTCACCCTTCATCCAAAGGACTTCATCAGGCCAAGGAGCCACAACAAACTCAGTCCCACAAGCAGCGCACGCTCCTGCTGAGTCCTCTGAGGCAGCCATAGCCAAAGTGGTTCAAAACATCAAAGTTCATGCGCAATAATCCAGGTAAAAAAAAATCCAACAATGTTCAGTCAGGTCATCTGGACAGTATTTTTTTTTTTCTTTTTTTGTTGTTTCCTCCCAGGCTCTGATCGAGGTGGCAGCTTCTGTTTCTCCTCCCCCGTTTTTTTCCTTCTTCCTGCTCTGCTCTCTGTCTGTCTGAAGCGCCTGGGTCTCATCTCCCAAACATAAATTAAGAAGATTATGGATTTGGTATCGTGGGCGTTCAACACTATTGATAAGATTTTTTCATCAAAACGACAAGGTCCTGGAGAACCGGCGTGTCCAGCTGAGACTCACGCTGTGGGGTACGTCATGGATTTGTGGGGAGTGTGGCAGTTGATGTGCATTACAGTCTTGTCTCAGGAGGATGTTGAAGACATTTACATATTTGGATTTATGATAGCAGGGACTCTGCTTTTTGGCATCGGCGGGGCTCTGTTTTATCGACTTTTGAAAAAGACATCGGCAGCAGTTTCGGCCATGGAAAAGCTTCCGAGTCAGTGTGAAGGTCTGGTCCTCGCTGTGGGAACTTTAAATCGTCTGGTCTACGAGCTTGACCGTAAGGTGGAGGCGATTGAGAATCGCAGACCACCTGCGGCTTCTGTGACTCGTCAGCATGGTGGGTTCGACCTTGAAGGAGACTCATAGCATGGATCAGTGGAATGGAATCCCACAATTAGGCATTTTCGGAACCAGAATGCCCAGATGGACTCAAGGCTGAAGAAAAAAATCTGTCTGCCTGAAGAAAAAACAACAATCAAGCTCATCTGAATCAGACTCCCGACGGCCTCGGAGACGGGCTGACTATCAAATTTCTCCTGGGACATGAGTACCCAAGGACAAAAGCTTCATCTAACTAATTGGCCCACTATGTGAGTAAGCCACGTATGGGACTGAGTTTGTTGTGGCTCCTCGGACTGATGAAGTCCTTTGGATGACGGACGAAACAACTCAACAAGAAATAAAGAAACCGCCCAGATGACCTGACTGAACTTTGCTGGATTTTTTTTTAACCAGGATTAGTGAGCATGAACTTTGATCCATTCAAATATGTTTCGGGTTGACCGAGTCAGAACTAGGTTCTCAAGACCAAGCGGAGTTCTTCTGAAGACGTGGAGATTTTGTTGCCTTCAGAGATCAAAAGGTTCATTAAATATCTGCAGTGGTTCCCAAACGTTTCAGCTTCTGACACACAAAAAAAACAGTGGCAGAAATCTCATTCAAGCATTGTTAATTATTTAATTAAACATGGGTAAAATAAAAGCTCAAACAACCGTGTCGATGGAAAACCAATATTAGACACAGGTCCTGCAAATAGTTGATTTAAGTCCAATAGAAATCTGTTTCTAATCATTAAAACACGCTTCAAGTTAGTGACAGATTTAGCTCATTCCTGCTGAAAAACGGAATTATTCCAATGTTATATCCTAAAACTTCTCTCCAGGATGATGACACACTTCCGCAACATCATCCCTGACTTTACAGACAACAACCTAATCAACATAATCCGCTACGGTCAGGACTACTACGCCTCCTCCGAGGTGAACTACATCAACCAGATAGACCCGGACACTCTGGAAACTGTTGGCAGGGTTCGTTCAAGTCAAACCACAGAACGTAGAAAGATCTGTAAATGAACAATGACATGCAACGTTTCTGCTCATTTCCAGGTGAACTACAGGAACCACATTGCTCTTAACTTGGCAACAGCTCACCCTCACTATGACAAAGAGGGCAACACCTACAACATGGGCACTGCTATTATTGGTCTTGGCAGGCCGAAATATGTCATCTTCAAAGTTCCAGCAGATACGTCAGGTACTGTGCTTTAATGCGTTTTGTCACTGTTGCCCTCCTGAAACCGTTTGTCGACCACGTTCTTGTTGTCGCCAAGGAGCGATCGTCATTTGAAGCCACAAAAATGAAAACAGAAGAAAAAGAATGTTGCTGTGCAAAATGGAAGCCGTTGCCAAAAAAATGCTGGTTTGAACACAAATTTCTTTCTAAAAGAAATGTTCTTAAACACGGATTAGGACTGGAATTGTAATAAGAGCACATCATGTAAATGGACCAGATTTAGCCATTTATGGTGAAAAACTTTACATTAGAAACAAGTAACAAAAAGCACGTCATAATAAAACTGAATTATCTTGAATAAAGAGATATCCTAAAAATAGAGGAGCTTCTTTCTGGCCTTGCTCAGCCTTGGAGAAAAAGAGAAGAGCTCCATCAACTGAGGGAAACTCGGAGATGCTGCTCCTCCTCATCGAAATAAGTTGTTGAGGTGATTCGGGCATCTAATAGTGTGAATGTTTATGAAGCAATCACACTATTGTGATACATTTTTCTTCTGTACATTTTTTTTGCCGCGATTCTCGTCCAGCAGTTTTCAAACCGTTTCAACAAATCATAAATCAAAACGTTCAGCTCTTTCAGGACAATCCTATGACTTTTGGTATCAGTGCAACGTCAGCTTTTTGAAATATTTAGCCTTTTCTGCCATTTTTTTTTTCTCATAGAAAATGATTTGAGCTCATTTTACATCCTTCAAATCTTTAGATGTGTTCACAACCTTTTACTGCTCCTTTCACATTTTGTTCTGCTTCAGCTTCTTTCAGCTTCCTTGTGCAAATTTAAACTTTCTTTCAGACGTTTTCAACTAATTTCAGCTGCTTTTTCAGCTATTTTGTGCTCCTTTCAGATTATTTATGCTAACCACAAAATGTTAGAGCTTCTTCTAACTTATTTCTGCAAGTTTCATTTTTTTTTTCTACTTTTTCATCTACTATAGCAGTTTTCATGCTAATTTAAACTTTTTAAGTTAATTCCACATTTTTACACTCATTTCAAATTTTTTTCAGCCTAATTTATCAAACATATGCTCTCTCCACTCTCGTTTGTAATTTCAGCTTCTTCAGTTACTTTTCACCTGTTGCTAATTTCAGCTTAAAAAAAAATAAAATTAATAAAAAATAATACAATTTTTTGTTATTGTTGCTAATTTAAACTTTTTTCAGATAATATCCAAGTATTTGTGCTCATTTCTGCTTCTTTCAGCCTAATTGGGCAAATGTGTTCTGATAATTTAAGCTTGTTCTAACTTTTCAGTTATCTTGGTAGCATTTGTTTTTAGCTAATTTCAGCTGTTTTCACATCAATTCAAGTTTTTCATGGTCAGTTCTGCTACTTTCAGACTAATTAACTTCTTTCTGCTAATTTCAGCTTATTCTCCTTTCAGCTTAATAATGCTAGCTTCAGCTATTTCTGCAACTATTTAGCTGTTTTTATGCGAATTTGAACTTTTTCAGCTAATTCCATATTTTAGCTCATTTCAGCCCTTTCTGTTTCCTTCTGGTAGTTTAAACTTCTTTCTACCTTTCAGCTATTTTTCAGCTTATTTTGTTGCTAATTTCAGCTTTTTTTTTTTAAATACTTTCCTAATTTTTCTGCTAATTTCTGCTCTATTTCAGCAAATGTGTTCTTTCTAGGCTTGTTCCTCCATTTCAGCTACATTTCAGCATGTTTTTAGCTAATTCCAGCCGTTTTTCAGCAAGTTCTTCTGCAATAGGTCTCTCTTGTAAATGAGTCCCCGAGGCTCAATGGGATTAACCTGTATAAATAAAGGTTGACTGAATGAAAATAATAATAATAATAATAATAATAATGGGATTACACACAATAAGCACTGCATTTTTGCAGGAAAAGCAATTTCTCTAATTAGAATTGCCATCCGAGAATCTAAAACTATCAAAGCAGGATAACCGGAGTCATGGTATAGATTTACTGGCTATGCTGAATGTAAATGCCTGACTTTATTACACTTGAGTTCTAGGAGTCATATCTGCATCTAATTTCAAGTGAGATAACATTAATTGAATTACAACACTGTAAAAGACACTATGCCAGCTGTTAGCCCAGTCACCTGTGACATTCATTCCATTTTTATAATCCTATTTCCCAAAACACTTTGGCCACTATGAACCATAAACTCTGATCAGACACTGGCAGATAAGGGTTTTACCTGAACACCATGGTACATTGCAATACTCTGTCGGGAAAACCTGCATCCTTGCTTACTGCTACTTTGACAACACGTCATTTTGCAAACCATTTACCGGTACTCCCTATAGATAGGGAGCTCGACCCAGAGACCCAAACCGCTGTTTCGTTAATTACAACAATCAAATCTGCCTAACCTACAGCTGGTGAACAGGGTACGAGCATTAAAGAGATGAGTTGATAACACAACATTAAATGGTCTGTTTCAGATAAAGGACATAAAGAGCTGGCTCTGAGGAAGGTACAGCAGATCTGTTCAATTCCTGTCCGGTCCACTTTGTTCCCAAGCTACTTCCACAGCTTCGGCATGACTGAGAACTACATCGTGTTTGTGGAGCAGCCGTTCAAACTGGACGTCGCCAAGCTCGTAACCGCCTATTTTAGAGGAATCACCTGGGGGAAGTGCCTCACATTCGACGAGAACGACATTGTAAGTTTTTCCACCAGTATCAATAACCAACTATGCAGGCACAAAACATGAACCTGGTTCTATGTCATCAGTCTCCCACTTCATATTTGAATTCTGTAAGGTTCAACTTTATTTACATGGTAATCAATCTGACCATGATCATCACATGGAGTCGTCTCTCTTTCCAGACTCTGTTTCACATCATCAATAAAAAGACAGGAAAAGCAGTGTCCACCCGTTTCTATGGTGACGCTTTGGTAGTTTTCCACCACATCAATGCTTATGAGGAAGACGGGCACGTGGTATTTGACATCGTCACCTACAAGGACAGCAACCTATACGACATGTTCTACCTCCACAACATAAAACAAGAAACCAGCAGCTTCATTGAGACAAATAAGGAGTTCGCTCCGCCGGTTTGCCATAGATTCGTCTTGCCGCTTAATGTCCAGAAGGTACATTTAGACCCACAAATACCATCAAAGTACACATATATTACTGTTAACTCCACTATCACTGCTTGGTTATCCTCAAGGAGTCTCCCAAAGGGACTAACCTTGTCACTTTAACGGACACTACAGCTCAGGCAGTGATGCAGGAGGACGGGTCCATCTACTGCCAGCCAGATCTACTTTTTGAAGGTTTGTGTTTTATAAAACAAGAGTATCGCATACATCACATTATACACTTCTTATTTCGTCTGCTTATTTCAGGGGTCGCCATGGCGAACTAACTCACACAAAGACTTCCCAATGTCTACGCCGAATACCCTTCCTGATGTAAGCACAGACCACCGAGCTACCACAGCCCTCTGTGTGGAGCAGAGAGCTGCCATCTAGGGCACTCAGGGGAGCAGATGGTGGAGGTTGAGGGCCTTGCTCAGGGGCCCAGAGTGGGGCAAATGAGGGTGGAGGCAGGTACGGGTGCGTCAACTTTCCCACCCACATTTTGATGTTGTATGGGGAGTTGAACCGGCAACCTTTCGATCACAGGCTCACCTTCTCTGGGCTCTATGTCACCACTCCTCCACAGCAGATTCTACACCCATCCACAAAATATTACACAGAAATACAGCATCCATAGCGAGGCTGTGGTAGCTTGGTGGTCAGTGCTGCGGTCTTGTAATCCTGAGGTTGCGAGTTCGAATCCAGTTTGCATCAGGAAGGGCATCCGGAGTAAAACAAATGGGCAAATCTTTCATAGGAGTTCGCTCGCTGTGGTGACCCCTGAAGAAAGGAGCAGCCGAAAGCAACTTATTTAATACAGCCTTATATAGCAATAGCCTCAACATCAAAGACCTTGCATAAAGGCTGACCTTGATTTGTGACCTTGACCTTGAAGCTGAGGTGATGAAAAAGTGTATGCAACACTCTGTCTAGTGATGATGCATTTGTGTATAAAGTTTTGTTAAATTATCTTGAGTGGGTCAGAAGTTATGGGCAGGACATAAGAATGTTTACGTACAAAGATTTGGAAAAATACATGTAAACCATAATGCGTGCGCCTTTCGACAGGCATATAAAAATGAAGCTGTTTGACATGCAATACAAAAAGAACCATCTGATTTTCAAAAACCGAGTTTGACTCCTCCACAGGTCTGGAGTTGCCAGGGATTAACTACAACTTCAACACCAAGAAGTATAGATACTTCTACGGCTCCCGGTTGGAGTGGTCGCCCCATCCCAACAAGGTGAAGCATGTCAGAGAACAAGTAATGACAATAAATTAGCAAAACCTTTTCAGCAACTATGAAGTACAGGGAGAGTGATGATCTTCAATAACTATCAATTGAAGATGAATCAGATGTGTCTTTTGAACTACTAAAATAAAAATCAGACAGAATTAGCGTTCTAAGAGCCCATCTGGTTGCTGCACTTTATCCTGAGAGGAACTTGACTATAAATCAGTCGATTCTATATTGAACCAAACTGACTCTGTAATCCACAAAATGCATCATGGACTGAAAAACTTGTGTCTAACAGATCGCCAAAGTAGACATCGCTACCAAGACGCACATCGAGTGGCATCAAGAGAACTGCTACCCTTCAGAGCCGGTGTTCGTTGCATTTCCAGGAGCAGAGGAGGAAGACGATGGTGAGAGGTTCACCTGACTAACTAACAAACTGAGAGGACTTCTCTGACTTTTTATTTTGTTCCTTCTTCCAGGAGTCATCCTATCATCTATTGTTTCTTCAGACCCCAACATTACTCCCTTCCTGCTTGTCCTCAATGCCAAAACCCTTCAGGAGATCGCCCGGGCCTCTATTCCGGCCCCGGTCCACATAGACCTTCATGGGCTTTTCATCCCTGCTGCTGACTGACCACTGGAACTCAGGCTGGAGAAAACTGAGTGTTATTTTCCCCATTTTTGAAGATGTGCCTTTACGTACAAGTTAAAAGGTGACATCAATCTCAAAACACATTGGTTAAAGATTTTCCTGTTGGATGAGCAACAACAAAAACTCATTTTGCCTTTTTTTTTTTGACTGATACAAGACTGAAACTGTCTTTGGAACATAAATAACAACGTTATGGTTTTTCAGGTTATGTGCTCATTTAGAGAAAAGCCACCAGTTTTAGATTCATGAAGGAAACTACTGTGACAAGTACTGAGTCCCTTTTGTGAATAGATGTTTGCTTTTATTGACCGTCTAAATACCATAATAAAGAAGTATTTTGTGTATTTGTGTTTGATATCGAATATCAATCTTGGTGTATATTTTGAAAACGCAAGACTAAAAAAATTGAGCCGTTTAGACACAGTGGCAAGAAGGATGTTTGAACTTGTCAAGGTGAGGCTTTCACACCAATGAACACTACATCAGTCAAGCATGGTGGTGGTAGCATCATGCTGTGCTGCTGAAACAATAAAGGTCTTCCCAAGTTACTCAACTTCATCGCAAATCAGCATATGTGGTAGAAATTTGGAGACGGGCATTTCAACAGGAGCATAAGCCCAAAAGCACATCAGAACTGGTTTCTGATGGGATTGATTAGGCCAGTGGTTTCCAAAGTGTGAGGCACACCCACCGACATAAATACGTAGATGCCCCATTGATCGCTGAATCGTACGTCGCTGTCGCCGCTATTTTAAATGTGGTGGAACTGCCAGTCATTTAATGCAAAGAAATGGACAGAACTTCATAAAGCACCGTTCTACAAAGTGTTTTAAGTTGACGTCTGTTGTGTTCACAAACACCAATATATATATTTGAAAACAAACGGGCACCAAAGACAACATTTGTAACTTTTACGCTAAACGAGCTGTGTAATGTATATGTGTCGCAGTATGACTGAATGGGAAACCTAAAGAATGCTTGGACAATGCTAATGTAACAGGTGTTGAGATGGGGAGGAGGAAGGGCAGCCGACTCGAGACCCAAAAGTCCTACGTTCGATCCCCAGTCATTGCACATCTTGTGGTGTCTCTGAGCAGCACACCCTATCCCCAATTGCTCCATATGTGCTAATAGCTGCCTACTGCTCCACCTGGGGGTGGATGGGTTAAATGCAGAGAGCCAATTTCACCATTGTATGGGAACATACAATGATGACAATATATAACACATTATTATTATATATTACTAACATTAAGCTTGTAGAACGGCCTTCCCAAAGCACCGTCCTCAAACTGATTGAAAATGTGTAGAATCCGACTTAAAGCCACAGACTCCTTGTGAGCAGGCGTGAAAAAGCGAGTACAGTAGTCCCTCACTACTTCTTGGTTTGACTTTTGCAGACTCGCTCTTTTGTGATTTTTCTAAATAAGATTGAAGAGAGAAAAAAAATGTGTACACGACTATCAACTTTAATATTACTCACGTGATTTGGACTGTACTGGATACTGTACAGTAAAAAGTAAAAAATAAAATAAAATACTTTGGACAGGCGCCGACATTTTGTAGTTTTCTCTCAATAAACCTACACTGTATCGCCGCCCATAGGACAACATTTCCCAGAAACCAACAGAGCTCCGCCAAGAAGACCCGTTGCCTTCTGCTGAAAAACTAGAGGGAAAGTTTTGATCTGATCCCCAAACATTTGGTAATTTAGTGACTGGCGCCCAGTGGCACGGAACCAGACCGATCGGCGAACCAGCGAGCTGCTAGCCAGCCCACGAAGACTTACGAGCAGGCATGTGCAGCCGTAGGTCCAGCTTCTTTCTGGAGCCCACCGCCACTACCCTGATCCAGTGAGCCGACCAGAACCGGCAGGGTAGGTCGTCCGAAACAGAACCAAGTCGCTGCTGTTCTGCCAATTGGTCAGTAAAATTTAGTAGCTACATATAAGTATGTGGTTAAAATTAGTAGGTTGAAGAGTTTAGAACATTGCAAGAGTGTGGGGTTTCTATAAAGCCTTAATATATACAAATACTAGGGACGCACAATATTATCGGCCTGGTATAGGCCGATATTGGTGTTAAAGTTAAATATCGGACGTCGGCCATTAACTACATCAAAATAATCACAAATATAATAGGCGCTGTTTTTGTATGACAACTCTGTGACAAGGATGTCTGCAGTGCCAGCACAACGCGACGTCACGTGCGCCTACCTCATCTGATCACGGCGGAAGAAGTCGTCAAAATGGCAGCAGTGTGGAAGTTTTTGTTTTGTTGAGAATATCAGATTCCTAAGATTTTTGGACGATGTTGTGCCTCGCTACATCGTCCCAAGTCAGAGATATTTTTCCGACGTAACCTTACCCGAGTTACAATCCGTCATTTCTGACGTCATTGAGAGGCTAATAGCCGATAGCACTTGGGTGAGTTTTACCACAGACATGTGGACGTCATGTTAGCCCCGTTAGCATGATTAGTCTTACAGCACAATGGATAAGACAAAAACTTTGAACTTATAAAGTCTGTCCTTCGTGCACAGGAGTGCAGAGGATCCCACACTGCAGCTAGGAACCTGGAACAAGCCTCCACAAGTGAGACAGCATCGCACCTGTGTCTAATGCTAATGAATAATAATTAACACTTTTCATTTACTATAAGTTAAAGTGCTATGCACATCATAAGGCTATTACTGAATATATGTCACCAGCTCTTACAGTTTTTGTAGCAAATAAGCCTAAATAAGAGAGAGGGCTATGTTCCGACAAAGGATATAAAATATCGGTATCGGCCAAATACGTTTTAACTTATCGGCATATCGAATATCGGCCAAAAATCCAATATCGTGATTCCTTAATAAATACTCGAATAGAACCTATACTCAAATAGAACGTTGCTACTTCGCAGATTTTCACTTACAGTATTGCCGAGAGTAGGTGTCCGGAACGTAACCCCCGCAATAAACGAGGGACTACTGACGGGTGATTAAAAGCTGGGTACGTGCAGGAAGCCTCCCAAATTAAATGAACTCAACTAATTCTGCCAACAAACATGATCAAGGTTTAAAATATAACTTTAATCCCCCGAGCCACAGCATTTCAATATTCTATTTTAATCAGAAAACCTTTCCACTGATTCTTCAAAGATTTAAAAAAAAAAAAAAAAAAACCCTGAAAATGTTCTTTAATAGACATTTAAGACTTTTGGTCACAATAGTTAATTTTGAAATAGGAAATTGTTTGTAGCATTAACACACTGTGAACTGAACACTCAGTCTGCAGGTTTTTTTTTTTTTTTTTTTAGAATCATGGGAATTTATTACATCAGCAGTTGCAACAAAAACGTTTTAAAATCTTCTCCGTCACTCATCATCGCCCCGCCTTCCAACATGGCCGCCGAACCGCACAGCAAAGTGAAAGTCAACTTTTCGAAGTCTGTGACGTCGACGTGATCACCGCTGTTCTGAAAAGATAACTTCAGAAATATTCATAATTTATCCTGTGAGGCTCGGAGCGGTTTGCCATCGTCCTCGCTGGCGTTGCTGGGGAGGAAAGAGGGGGGCGGGGCCTGGGAGTGAAGCAGCAGCCACAAATCAGAGACCAAGAAGAAGAAAAATAAGAAGAGTGATGCTGAAGAACAGGCACGTTGGAATACTGAGTGTGTGTGATGTGTCTAAACTATCACTGTTTACAACAGTGGAAAAAACGGTTCGTTTCTCACAGAAAAACACGTTCACATCTTTGTTTTCCTTTCTGTCATCTCTACGCTGCTGCCCTTTTAACTGAGGAGGAAGATTGTGTTTTTGTTTTTGTTTTAGGTCCTTCAGATGATCTCAAAGGTCTTCTTCAGCTCCATGATCAACTGCCAGTCAGGTTTCTGCATCTCGTCTCTGAACCAGTTTTTCAGGGCGTCGATGGACGCTCGTGTGATCTGAAACAACAACACAACCTCTTGTTACCACTAGAGTCGCATTCGGGCCCAGCCCATAGCCATCATTTCTGAACCCCACCCGACCTGACGAATTAACAGTAATTACAGGTCCAAACCCCCCAAAAACAACATTTTTAATTAAGCTTTGACTACTTATATAGTTATTAACGGTCGGCGGACGCGCGCGGCTAAGGGGGAAGAAGATCAGAGCTGAGGTGGTGTTTGTCCTTTCATGGCCGTCAGAGCTCAATAAATCCCTGCTTCTGCCTGCATTCTGCATTATTCAGACACGGACCCTGCTCTGACATGTCGGATACTTTGTGATCTCACCTGTTTGGGTCGTTGGCCGCGCACGTCCGCTGAGTGCAGCGGCTGAATGAACGTCCATTTGGGCTGATGGATCGCTGGCAGTAGTCCATCTGAAGCTTAACTGAACTTTTTACCTTTCAAGGCCGGTCCGTGCGCGGTCAAATGGTGCCGGTGAATGTATGGCAAGCCGCGTAGCCATATAATTGTATCGTCAGCCGCACGCGTCTGCTGATGCAATCAAAAGCCGAACACCGACCTGGCACATTGTGGCCCGGCCCTAATCTGGGTCGGGTGGGACCTGGCTCCGGGTTCGGGTTAGAAATGACAGCTCTACCAGAAACAAAACTCTAAATATGTGGACACAGAAATGTATAAGACCATTTCCTGATCTATTCAGCACCAGCAACAGCTGGCCGAGCTTAATGAACGCTAACAGATGATAAACTTTCTAAGCTCATTCAGTGCAGCAGTCGAACTGGTCAGATATTATTTTTAAACATGGAAATGTAACTATTTAAGATTATCACGATTCAGTTACATTTATCTGTATAAAAATAAGTGAAACTAATCGAAAGATCATATTTCGTCTTTATTTTCCAGGATTTCACTGCTGAAATTTATACAATTTTTGGAAAGTTATCTAATTTTTGAGCCTTTCTTCTTCTGTGGAAACGAATTTCTGACAGCCTCCAAGTCAAACAGACATATTTGTTCCTATATTGTTTTCTGATATATGTGTAAAAATTAGGTTAACTATTAATGCTTTATGCTGCACTTAAACTATGTTGGTGGCATCAGAATTAAAAGACAAACTTAGTATTTGTATAAACATGTTTGTGTGTTTTACAACAGTAAAATACAATCAGAAAATGTATCAGGCTAAAAGCAGCTGAACAACTGTAGGTAAAATTCCTAGAAACCTGCAAGCCCTAAATTCATAAATCCATTTTATTCACAGTTTGTAGAACGACACAAAACGTATGAAATGTGGGGTTCAAAAACCTTTTTTTTACACCAGCGGTCGACTGATGCAAGCTTTTCTTTGGCTGATGCAGATCTTTAGACATCAGGGCAGATACACAACACGACTTTTTCTTCTATTTTAAATTCTGGCCAAAATGTATTTTTAAATTTACGAAAATATAACTGCTTATATAAAAGCGTATCTATAAGAAAACATTAGAACAACATTTATACAGTCTTTTTCTAGACTCAGTCTACAATAATTGTAAAAAATCAACCTTACCATTTTCTTTTCTTTCCTGACTTTTTAAAATGGATGAGTTGCTTCTAAAAACAATCTGTTATAGTTCGCTCAGTGAAACCGAATACACGCAAACATTTTTCAGAGCATCCCAAGCCCCGCCCCTTCGGTGGGCGTGTCTTTACCTTGCTGACGAGGATGTCGGTGGCTTCGAAGTGGCGGCCGAACATCTTAGGTGCCTCTCCGGGGATCGGTTCGATCTTGACGCAGATCTCCTGCCCTTTCTTGGCAGAATCGACGGGTTTGTGGTTCATCTCAATGCTGGTGACCACACCAATGTCCACAAACTGAGACACAAACCAGTTCCCGTTGATTTAAAAAGGATAAACTCAATAATAATATAAACAAATAAAAAACAAACAGAGGGCTTCGCAGCGAGTCTCACCCCTTTACTGGGCACGCAGATCGGCGTTCCCTGTTTCAGGAGACCGGCCTCCACAGAAACGCCCATTACGATGGGATCTCTGGAGTTAAAGATGAACTGAGGAAGAATTCGCAGCTTCACAGGAAACACGGCGATGTGCCTGAGAAAACATTTATCCTTTAGTCCAAAACCTTTTTAGCCATTTAACACTAGAGTTGCTAAATCACAGTAACTTGCAAAGTTCATTCATTCAACCTTTATTTCTACAGGTGAGTCTCATTGAGCCACGAGGACTCATTTACAAGAGAGACCTGTTTGAAACAAAGAACGCAGATGAGGGTATAAACAACAACAGATAATTATATAAAAAGCATATTAAATGAAAAAGTAAACAGAAGAAATGAAACAAACAGCTACATTATAAAGCGATGTAAAATACTAAAAACAGGAACATGTCTGAGTTGGTTTGTCCCATGAACTTAACAGTTGTTTAAAATCCCAGAGAGAGGTCAAGGTCATCAGGAATGATCTGACCTACATTAGTTATGTAGATTGTGAAGAGGGTGGGTCCTAAGACTGAACCTTGTGGTACACCATTATTAACTGTTAGATAACTGGAAGAAGTTCCATTTATTTGAACTATTTAGTTTAGAAGTACCAAAACTGGACACCTTTCATGAGATGAGCAGGAATTTTGGGGAATAAACGTAATTTAAAACATTGTAAGTTGGCCCTTAACAGGGATATTATAATATAGTTGTGGAAAATACATTTTAGTGAGAAGTACCGCACTCTAAAAAATGATCAACTCTGTCACCTGGATACGTAGGGACAAAAGGAAACAGTAACATGTAGAAAGTTTAGTTTTGTTACTGTAATTTATAGAAATTTGTTTTGTGTAGATAGATGTAGACTGGACTAAAAAAGAACTACAAATATTTCTTTAAATTTGTTACTTTCATAAACTTAGGGTCAAATTCATTCATAACATTTTTATTTTTGTTTGGATATCATACAGTTTGTTTCAATTAGCCCATTTCTAATTAATACTCAAATTTCCTTAATGCCCATATAGTTTTCCATTTGCAATACAGTAGTCCCTCGCTACTTCGTGGTTCAACTTTGGCGAACTCACTCTTTGGCGGATTTTCAAAATAAGATTGGACATGACACACAATTGATTGATGGATGAGCCGCACGATCGGCATGGATTAATTTAAAATAAATTATTTAGCACGTGAGAAGCTGATGTGTCATGATCTCCGCTCTCTGTCACGCCCACATTTCTCCTCCGTGCTGCAGCTTTGTGAAGATGTCCTGCTGCGCTTCTCTTCTCTACAATTTAAATTTAAATATTCCCACGGTAAGTTTCCAACAATTTCTCAGAAATGCATCTTCCCTTTGCTTTGTTAAAACTAGATGAACTACAGCTTGATCAGACGGAGAATAAAAGTTATCAGGATAACATGAAACGGAACAGAAAAAAATATATAAGTTTGTCCTAAAAGAAAAACTACCTTAAACAGTTTAGATTAAATTAGATTAAATATTAGACCTATTTTTTTCTGGTTTTGCTTTAAAATGACAAAAACTTATTGTTCCTCTTTATTGGCAGCCTTGAATATTGGAAGGAAAATACGTTTATGAACTTTTATAAACTACATCTTCATAAATTTACTGTCACGAGTGTAAAACATGATGATCTACAACATTACACTTTGAGCATAAATCTACGTTATCGCCTTCTGAAGCAAAAAATAAATAAAAGAACAGAAACAAAGCTTGTTTACAAACTTTGTTGACATTTTTACAAACCAGCAGGGAGACGAGGATGTAAATTTTAAATTAAATATTGTACATAATCCCACAGTTGGGGTCCCACAGGGCTCGATTCTTAGACCCCTTCTGTTTTCACTCTATCTGCTCCCTCTGGGGTCTATCCTGAGGAAACATGGTCTTTCATTCCATTGTTATGCTGATTATTGTCAGATTTACCTGCCCTTGAAACCAGCTAGTGCTTGCTCCATTCACCCTCTGTTAAAATGTCTGGATGACATTAAGGCGTGGATGGTTTCAAATTCCTTAAGTTTTAACGATCAGAAGACTGAAATCATTGAGTTTAGCCCTAGCTCAACCGCCACCTCTGATCCTGTAAACCTGGACTCCCTTCAGCCATATCTTAAGCAGTCCGTTAAAAATCTCGGGATGGTTTTAGACTCTGACTTCAAGTTTGACAACCAAATCATCTCTGTTCTGCGGAAAAGCTTCTTACAATTAAGGCAGGCAGCTAAGCTTAAGCCAGTGTTGTGCAGATCTGACCTTGAAAAACTAGCCCATGTCTTTATCACGACCCGACTGGACTACTGTAACACACTCTATGCTGGGTAGGCAGGGTGTCCATCTCACGTCTCCAGCTCATCCAGAATGCTGCTTTCAGCTCTTAACTGGAACTCGTAGGTTTAAACACATCACACCAGTTCTGTCCTCCCTTCACTGGCTCCCTGTGCATACCAGAATAGGCTTTAAAATTCTCCTGTTGACCTTTAAGTGCCTAAATGGCCTTGTACCCTCTTACCTCTGAGCTACTAGAACCATATATTCTATCTCGGGCCCTGAGATCATCCGATTGGCTGCTTTTGGCTGTTCCAAAAACAAGACTGAAGCTCAGAGGAGATCAGGCATTTTCAGTCATGGGCCCCAAACTCTGGAACAACCTGTCCCCCAACATTAGGCAGGCCGCATCCCTTCCTGTGTCTAAATCTGCTAAAAACACACGTGGTATTTCACACAGCGCGAGTTGATTTAGTATTTTTTGTGTTTTTATGTTTTTCTATTTAATGCTTTCAATTAATTTTTCCGTACCATCATTGGTGTTATTTTTTCCATTAATTTACAATGACAACAGCTGCTGTTTTAAATGTGCTTTATAAACCAGTGCACACCAAAGCATGAACAGTACTAAAACTACCGGTATTTAAAGTCCAACGCAAGTTTTATGAATTTGTTCTTAGACACACCCATAACCTTAAGAAAAAGGTAAAAGGAATAAGAAGAGACGTCATTGGAGTTTTCTTACTTGAACTCCTCCTGCTTGGCCTTCTTGTAGTCCTCTCTAAATTTGGTGAAGGCATCAAAAAGATGGTAGATGATCTCGGCCGCAAAGATTCGAACCCCCAGGTTGTCGGCCATCTCCTGACTCTCCCTCTCCACTTTCACGTCAAACGCCAGGATCACAGCGTACCTGTTGACGGCAGAGGAACACAACTACCTCTCACGTTTACGGATTCGGACTTTAAATCGTTTGATGAGGCAGTTGAGTTTGCGCAGGAGACGGTGACGTACTGCGTGTCATGCTCCAACATGGTCGACGCCTTCATCACGTCCTTTTTATGAACCGGGCCGATGTTGATACCAGCGTACTGCAGGAACACACAAAAATAACTACGAATATCAGCCTATTCCTTTAGTTTTGGTGTTTAAAGTCGTCTGAAACTGCTCAACAGATATTGTAACATAAGTTTACCATCGAGTAGATACTCAAAACATTAACAGAGGTAAACAGGGAAGTAAACAGGCAGGAAAACATGGATGAATAGGAATGTGGAACAGATGAACAACTGACATCAGCAAACTAAATTGTTTTTTACTTTAGCTAGCCTAATTAGTTTTCAGGTCACATGATCACTCATCTCACTCTCTTGGATGTCATGTGACTACTGCAGCCTTCTTCAGAATCCTGCTTGCTTTCATAATTAGAAAGACAATTACCATACTTTTCAGCCTATAAGTTGCATTTTTTATCTTCATAATTTTCATGCCCTGCGACTTATAGGTTGAAGCGACATATTTATGGATTTTTTTCCCCATATTTATAAACCATTTTTTGGCTGAGATATGACCGTTTTCATTCATTCTGACTGGAAAAAAAAATGGGGGGTTGCAGTACCACTTTCAGCCACTTGATGGCAGCAGAGTAGTAATAGTTGTATGGCATGCCGTTGTATCATGTAATAGGTAAACGTGGCTATAATGACAAATTCAATAAAGTTCAAGACAAAAACAACTGGACTTTATTTAATACAATTCACTTTCTATTTTATTGTTTTTTTCTTAAACTTGTTTGAATGTACATGTCCTGGATGACTGAGAATCTTCACCAGCTATTAATGACACAACAAGCCTGCCACAGTCTCCCCACATTCATTCTGCTCGCTGCTTGGAACCGTCAATCCAGCTGCACCGCCCCGGCGAAATGCAGCTGATTTGACCAATAAAGTGCATTTATTAAGCAAACGTTAAGACTGATTGATCCCATTGGTTTTTGACACACCGGTCCACATTTCCGGGGTCGGTCCACATTTCCGAGTTGTCAGTGGTGACCCGTAACAAACGCGACGCGTCAGCGGTGACGCATAATAGATGCGGCGTACACGGCAAAGCGACATATTTAAGGGATTTTTCCGCTTTATTAGACAAATATGGACTGATGTGACTTATAGGGCAGTGGGACGTGTACGATGGAAAATACGGTAATTATTCAGTCCTAAAAGGTGACTAAAGGAAATTAGACATGGTTTTGCGACAATGACAGTGTTTTACAATACATAATACACAGTTACTGACACCGTATTTTCCGGCGTATAAGTCGCAGTTTTTTTGTATAGATTTGTCAGTCCTGCGACTTATACGTTTTTTTTTTTCCATCTTCATAAGGCTATTTTTGAGTGACGCTTTAAATTTCTAAGAACTGCAACAGCAAGTCCTCCCATGCGTGCTCGCTCAACTCAGCTGGTGCAGGCGGAAGAACGTTGGAGAGCTAGCGGCTCCGGCCACGATGGATGGATGGATGGATGGCGCCGAGCCGCCAAGGCGAAATGAAGCTGTTGTGACCATTTAATAAACGCATAATACATGCAACGGGTCAGCAGTGACGTAGGGCTAGACGATATGGACAAAACATTTATCACAATATATTTTTTTATTTAGGTCAATAACGATATAATTCCGATATCGATATAAACAATATAAAATCCTCAGAAAAACTGTACAAATAAATTAACGTTCACCTTTTTTTGTATTTAGCCTTCAAAGAAATTTGAAATCACCGTCAAATAAACATAAAACTCTAAACTTTTGTCAATATTAATAGCTTTAACTTTAAACAACAACATAACCAACATTTGCTGCAGGGGTTTCTCTTCTGATACAGCTGGGGGTGTTTCAGGGACACGTTGGCTCAAACTTTTATTGTGCTTCATCTTCTGACTCTCAGCATATTCTGTCGAGTGGAACAAGTTAGATGTGTTCCCTCCGCTAGTTGGACCGACTGTCACATTTTGCAGCACACCGACTGAAACCTGCAGTTTATCGGCTCTTAGAAAGCCGAACCACTTCCACACCGCCGAATTAGTCTTTCCTCTCTTATCAATTATGCCATCTGCTTTCTCTTCGCTTGTGAAAGCTTGTTCAGTCACATTCAGATGGTCATGGGCACTCATTTTGAAGAAAACTTAATGCGCGTTGGTGATTAGCCTAGCCTGCTACCGCTAACTTCTGGACTCAAGCTCTGCGTAACGTCTACATCAACACGCACTTACGTAGTTGTGCCGCGGCTTTTTCTGTCGGGGTTGAAACTGAAGCGTCCGCTTCAACCCGAACAGAAAAAGAAATGTGTTAGTGAAACGCTGCAATCGTATCGAAATATCGAAAATGTGTTTAAAATTTATATAAAAGTATATCGCAACACATATCGAATTATTGTCCAGCCCTACGGTGACGCATAATAAATGCGACTTCCTCTTCATGATGCTTTTTTTGACTGATGCGACTTATACGCTGGAAAATACGGTACTTGGATTGACAGGTTAAAAAAAAAAAGGTAGAAACTAACTAAAAGTTACTACAAACATTGGTAAAACAACGGGTTAAATAAATAAACAGATAAACAAAATGGTGCTCACAGGGACTTTGGATGTTCTTAGAAACTCCAGCAGAGCCTCCAGTGATCCCAGTGTGGACGCCTGAACATAAACTCCTTTCTCCTCCAGTTTGATGGAGCTCAGCGTCTGTTTAAGCTCCCGAACCAGTTCATCCTGAAAAACAATGAGTACATTTTACCCGGACCTGGAAACCACTTTAATAAGAACAGAGAGACGGAGGCTAAACGATAGATACCCTTAAAACTGGGATCTCGTCTTCTTTATGCGCCACCAGCAGAGGGAGCCCAGCCAGCGTCTTCTCCAGGTCTTTACCCAAGATCTTCACGCCCTGAGACGTCGACACCTCTTTGTGCTTCTCGTACTGGCTCTACACAAAACAAATCAAAAGAGAGGATGGTTAACTCAGACTCACCCATGTTGGATAAAAAAAAAAAACTAAACAGGAAGTGGTTAATTCACTTTAACCTAATAGCCCATAAATCATTATTAACAGAATTTATACACAAAAAACAAAAGTTTAACTAGAGAAAGTGCATTTCCTGTAAAAATGCAGTGTGAATGCTTATTGCAGACGCACTTCCTGAAAAACAGCTGAAATTAGCTAAAAACGTGCTGAAATGTAGCTGAAGTGCATGAACAAGCCTAAGTTAGCAGACAAAAGAAGAACACATATTTGCTGAATTAGGATTAAATAAGCAGAAATTAGCTAAATAAATTAGTAAAGTAGCTAAAAAAAAGTTGAAATTAGCAAAAAAACAGCTGAAAAGTAGCTAAAAAGGCAGGAAAAAAGCTTTAACTACCCGAAAGAAGTGGAAGGAGCTGAAATTCAATTAAAATTTGAATTCAAATTCAATTCAATTCAATTCAAAAATACTTTGTTAATCCCAAAGGGAAATTAAGTGTTGTCGTAGCTCATCATCCTGGTTTCATTAAAGAGTTGCTAGATGCTGATAACTGTGGGCAGGAAGGATTTCCTGCAGTGAAGCCGAAGAATCTGGCCAAAGATACCGATCCGTCCACCCAGATCCAGATCCATAAAATGAGCTAAAGAAATGTGGAATGAGCTGAAAAAACTAAATTTAGCACAAAACAAATATATCAACTGAAATAGCAGAAATAGCTGGAACTAGCAGAAAAATGTTGAAAGGAGCATAGCAAGCTGAAATTTGCAGAAAAAAGTTAATTAGGCTGAAAGTAGCAGAACTTACCAAGAAAAACATGAATTTATCTGAAAACAGCTGAAATTAGCTACGAATGCTAACAAAAAGTAGCTGAAAAAGTAGAACAAGCTTAAATGAGCAGAAGAAAGCAGAAAACATGTTTGTTGAAAGAAGCAGAAATGAGCAGAAAAAAGTGGAAATTATCTGAAAAATGCTGAAATTAGTAAAATATAGCTGTAAAGTAGCTAAAAAAAGCAGAAAGAAACTGAAATTACAAAAAGGAAGTGGAGCGTGCACATTTTTGCTGAATTACGGTAGGCTGGAATATCTGGAATTAGTCGAAAAAGCTAAAATTAGTATAAAAACAGATAAATAGTAGCTGAAATTGTAGACAAAAGCTGAAACTTGCAGAAAGAAGCTGAAAGAAGCAAAACAAGCTGAAATTAGCAGAAAGGAGTTAGAAGAAGCACAAAAACTTTGTAGTTAGCAGAAAGAATCTGAAAGGAGCACAAAACAGCTGAAAAAACAGCTGAAATTAGCTGAAAGTAGCTGAAAAACTGTTTAAATTTGCACAAGGAAGCTGAAAGAAGCTGAAGCAGAACCAAATGGGAAAGGAGCAGTAAAAGGTTGTGAACACATCTAAAGATATGAAGGATGTAAAATGAGCTCAATTTTCTATGAGAGAAAAAAAAAAAAGGCAGAAAAGGCTAAATATTTCAAAAAGCTAAAGTTGCACCAATACCAAAAGTCATCGCAGGATTGTCCTGAAAGAGCTGAACGTTTTGATGATTTGTTGAAATGGCACAAAAAATTACTGAAAAACGTAGAGAAGAAAAATGGATCACAACCGTGTGAATGCTTCATAAACATTCAGAGTTAATGAATGAACATGGCACTTGACGGACGCCAAGGTTCCTCTGCACCAAAACCAAAACAGGTTTTGCATTTGTACCGTTTCACTTCTAACTCACACATTTTGTTTTAATACGTTTGAAGCTCTAACACACTCCTCAGAAACAAACAGGACAGCAGCTTTGGTTTTTTTAAGTGTTTTACCTTCACTCGGAGCTCCTTCAGAGGAGGCGGCAGCAGCAGGCCTCGGATCTGTGTGACGATCGGCCCCTCCACTCCCGGGACAATGATGGTCTGCCCCTCCCGCAGACAACCGTTGATCAGGATGACGTCTATCGTGGTTCCCATGCCGGGCAGAGCCTTCACCTGAGAACACGCACATCATTCCAGGCAGTGATTACGTGAGCCGTGCAGGTGCTTTTAAGAGGGTGGGCACGCGAACACTCACCTCCATGACCTGAGCCCGCAGCTCGTCACAGTGCGCTAACCGGCGAGCCAACATGGTCTGAGTCAGCTCGACCAATAGGGCGATGAGGTTTCCCATCCCGTCTCCGCTGTGAGCCGAGGTGGGAACCAACGACACAAACGTTCGAGGGTCTTTGTTCTCGTAGAACAAGGCGGCGTTCAGACCCTGAGGAACAGGAAAAAATAAAAATAAAAAAGTTGTAACAGTCTGGAAACGAACGGAGGTGAAACGCAGCGCTGCGACTGGCCGGTTATGATACTGGGCTCCACAACCTGCTGAGCGAACTCTATGATGATCGCCTTGGCTCTCTCATCAAACTCATCCTTGGTGTTTTTCTTCTGCTTCTTCAGCGTGGCCACGACGTCGGTGTCCGGACTCTTTTTCCAGTCGTACAGACGGTCGATCTGATGAGAAACAAGCCGCAGCTGTTACAAACAGCAGAAGACGACGACGCTGAAAATGGCGAGCCGCTGCGAACAAACCTTGTTGAGTGCAACAATGAACGGACACTTCTTCTCCTTCAGCAGGTTGATCGACTCGATCGTTTGAGGCTCGAGGCCGTGCATGATGTCCACCACCAGGATGGCGATGTCACACAGAGAGCTGCCTCTGTTCCTCAGGTTACTGCAGAAGCAGATAAGACAGTTGGACAGGCTACAAAGGACAAACAAGAAGACGAGTTGGACCGGACAGAAGGACAATACCTGAAGGACTCGTGTCCAGGTGTGTCGATGATCAGCATGCCAGGAATCTTGAGGTTTTCTTTGTCGAACTGCACCAAAAGTTGGGGTCAACAAACCGTAAACGCGGAGGACTGCTTTTACCTGACAGAGTGAAACATCGTACGTTTTTAACCATCTTGGTCTGCTCCTCGATGGTCTCCTTCGGGACGTTTGTGGCTCCGATCTGCTGAGTGATCCCTCCAGCCTCCCCGTCCTGAACATGGGTGTGTCGGAGCTGCAAACAATAAGAAAGACTCGACACTGAAACAAAAGCATCCGCGCACGCGTTACCGTGGGTAAACCAGACAGTACAGACAGCCTGGAACAGTCAGCAAGCAGAAAATAACCATCAGTCAACAACCATAGCTGTTTACAGTCTGAGGCAACAGAAGATTATATTAAGTAAACAGTTTTCAACGAGTAAACAACTGTACAAAGTAAATAACTAATCTTAAACAACAACTCTAACAAGTAAAACTTCTTCACTAACCTGGAAAAACGCTTGTAACAATTAGGGCTGGGCGATATTTCAAAGATATCAACATCTCAATATTTTTAAAATATCTAGATAATTTCATTTGCGATACAAGATGAGGCTATATCGATATAAACGATATAGTGTTATACTTGAAAATCCGCCTGCTGTCTTCTCTTTCTCCCCTCCTCTCCCTCACTACAAACCCAGCGCCTCACTCGTGCGCGCTCCCACTGTTTCCTGCTTCTCCAGGTGGGGTGGCACGTTGCAGCCACAATTACCACTGTTGCCAGATTGGGCGGTTTACCACCAGTTGGGCAGTTTTCATTCTGATTTTGCCAGTAAAAATTGCTTTGGGCGGGTGGGGATAATTTGGGCGGATTTGGAGTCAGATCAGCAGTTTTTGAGTTAACCTATTAAACACATTTCAACCAATCTTTCATCAATATTTCATAGCAAAGCTCCCCTGACCTTTGACCATCACTGATTGGCTACTGTCATCTGACAGGGCATTCACAACAGAGAACTGGTGAGACAGTTAGTGGACACCTCGTTGAGTGGGCTGGCCCGTTGCAGCCATACGTTGGAGCGGCGGCCATATTGGATGTGGCAGAACTGCCGGTCAACTAATACAGGAAATGCACTGAACTTCATAAAGCACCGTTCTACCAAGTATGTTAACGCCTGTCATTTACACACACTAATACATTTGGAAAACAAACAGGCACCAAAGACAACATTTATATGAAATCTCATCTTATAACTTTTAATGTGATTTTTAAAAAAATGTTTACTCCTTAAACGTTTAGGTTAAAGGTAAGCACTAAACCAACATGCATTATTTTGAGTGTTTACAACTACTAATGGGTGTAACACTATTACTGTGGTGATAAATATAGAAATATTCATATTTAATAACCAGATCCTGAAATGTGACGTGTTGAATTTCTGAATAAACCTATAAACACCAATATATCTTTACAGGGGGTGGGGGTATTGTGTGTGTGTGTGTGTATATATATATATATATGTGTGTGTGTGTTGGGGTGGGAGGGTGCATGTGCGTGTGTTCAAACACTAAATATAACAATATATTGATTGGGCGGGTTTTTGTGTGATGGGGCGGTTTTTAACAGACTTTTGGGCTGGAAAGCCATGACTATCTGGCAACACTGACAATTACTCACAAATTGGAGGGACAGCAAGGGGAGAAAAAAGGCTTTGTTATTTGGAGATGGTTCGGATTTAATTTGACGGACGTGCAGCAGAAAAATGTTTGCTGTAGACAATGCCGAAAACAAGTCCCGACCAAAAAGGGTCGAGCCCAACAAACCATTGTCACCAGTTAAAACTGCGCTATAAAGTGGAGCATGAAGAGTGTGTTCAACTTCGTGCTGCAGCTCCGACTGTGAAGCCTTCCCAGAATTCCTTCCCTGAAACAAACTACGGTACGAAACTCTTTAACCTGTGCTGTGCCTTGTGAGAGGAACAGAGAGGTGGTGTGAGATTATTAAGGACCGTGCCTTTAGCGATATGATCGAGCCACCTCTCGCTCCAAGACTTCATGTGTAGTTTTCTGCACGTCTGTGCTGCCAACTCCACGCGGCCCCTCCTTCTCCCTCACGTGCTGCTTCCCACACGCTTACTAACGTCGTGAAGGAGGCGCAGCTGAAGAGGATTATTATTTAATATATGTAAATAGTTTATTTTTTAAGACATTTATTTTGTACAGTTACAGCTGTTTGTTAACAAATGTGCCTGTGTGACAACTGGGCCAAAGCTTTGACTCAGAAATATAATTTTGTTATTACTTTATGGAAAGACCAAAAATATTGCGATATATATCGCAATTTATCGTAAAAACATTGAGATATTAATTGCAGTCCATATCGCCCTGCCCTAGCAACGATGAACAGTTAAGACAGTCCAGCAAACTCCCAACAGTTTGCAAACATTAGGTTCAAAACGAGGAAACAACTGGTAAACAACCAACAGGCAGGAAAATGTAAACAACCAAAATTACTTGGATGAACGGTAAAAAACAAACATGCGTTTAAATAATTCACTCAAACAATAAAAAGTTAGGACACGATCTATAAATATACGATAAATAGTAAATACCTAGTCAGTAAATGGACGTTAATTGGTACACAACTAGTAAATCGTTGGTAAACAGTCTACAAACAAGTGGCAGGCAGACAACCAACAGTTTGTGGTCTAAACAGAGTAAATGTTAAATACACTAATCAGCAGGTAAAAATATAGAAAACTGAAAGATTCACAAACTTTCAAGCACCACAGTAAATATACAGTCAAGACACAATTCTAGCTGATAAACAGCAAGTAAACATTTGATCAACTGTAAACACCTGGCAAATAGTTAATCAGTAACCAGCAAGAGGACAGCCAGTAACCAGCCAGTAAGAATTACCTTGTCGAGGATCTTTGTCTTTCCCGTGTCGACGTGTCCAAGCACGCACACCACCGGCGCTCTCAGCTTGTCCAAGATGATGTTCTTCAAGTTCGCTGCTCGGCGTTTCTATGACGACGCAAAACGTTTGTCAGAGACGAGCTGGGCAGCCGGGAGTGTGGACTCCTCGAGTAGTTCGGCGTCTCACCTCTATCCTCTTCTTGGCGCGGTCGTACACTTGCTCCTCCTTCGTCCTGCCGTCCTCTTCCTCGCTCTCGCTGCTCTCGTCTTCACTGACCTCTCTCCTCTTCCCCTGACCTGCTGGCGCCGGCTCTTTCTCCCCGTCGCCGTCTTCCTCGCTTTCCTCCTCGTCCTCGTCGTCATCCTCCTCGTGTTCCTCCTCTTCTTCCTCCTCCTCGCTGGCTGCAGGCTGGGGAGGAGCAGCAGTCTCCTCTTTGACCTCAATGTGAACTTTCTTCAACTCTGACAGACAAAAAGAAAAGCGCAAACCTTACATCGGAGAGTTACAACTGCATTTTGTCTAAAAACACAGTTGTCCACAAAAATGTCAGACAGAAGGGTTGAAATTTCTGAGTATTAAAGGAAATTTGAAAGTGCCATAATTCAGTTGGTTTATATATCACCAAGTCACAACAGAAGTCGTCTCAGGGCACAGAACAGAAACATTCATATATAAAAATAATAATTTAACGTTATTTATCTGAGGAGCAGACTGCTTTGAGTTTAACTCCATCACAGAACTCTCATCTGGAGCAAGCATGAAGGTGACAGTGGAAAGGAAAAACTCCCTCATGAGGAAGAAACCTTTAGCAGAACCAGGCTCAGGACAAGCGACCGTCTGCTTCGACCGGCTGGGTTTGAGAGGAACAGATACACAATGGCAGATCGAGAATCACGTTAAAATCGAAATAATGTCAAACGAAAACTATTCAATTTTAACAATTCATTTCAGGAAATGAGGTCAATTTGTCATCTAGTAGTCTAAGTCTATAGCAGCAAAAAAAAAGCCAACTCTAACCATAGGATTTATCAAAAAGGAAAGTTTTAATCCCAGTCTTAAAACTGGACAATGTGTCAGCCGCATGGACAGAAACTGGAAGTTGGTTCCACAAGAGAGGAGCCTGATAACTGAAATATCTACCTCCCATTCTGCTTTTGGAAACTCTAGGAACTACAAATAAACCTGCAGTCTGAGAGCGAAGTGCTCTGTTAGGAAAATATGGAACAATAAGATCTGTAATATAAGATGGAGCTAGGTCGTTGAGAGCTTTGTAGGTTAGAAGTAAGATTTTGAATTATATTCTGGATTTGACAGGGAGCCAGTGGAGAGAAGCTAAAACTGGAGATATATGATCTCTCCCACTAACTCCAGTTAAGACTCTGGCAGCAGCATTTTGGATCAACTGAAGACATTTTAAAGAAATATTTGGACACCCAGATAATAAACCATTGCAATAGTCCAGTCTAGACATGACAAATGCATGATCCAGTTTTTCTGCATCATTTTTAGATGTTTCTAATTTTAGGGATATTACGCAGGTGGAAGAAGGTGGTTCTTGTAACGTTTTTAATGTGAGGGATAAAAGACATGTCCTGATCAAAAATAACACCAAGGTTTTTAACATTAGAGCTGGAGGACAGATTCATGTCATCTAAGGAGGGAGAAAGACTGAAAAATTAATTCCTAAGATGCTCAGGTTCAAAAACTAAAACCTCAGTCTTGTCTGTGTTCAAAAGCAGAAAATTAAGGGTCATCCAGGTTTTTATGTCTTTAAGACAAACTTGTAGTCTAAGTAGCTGATTGGATTCATTGGGTTTCATGGACAAATATAACTGTGTATCATCAGCATAACAATGAAAATGTATCCCATGCTGTTTAATAATTTTACCTAATAGAAGCATATATAATGTAAAGAGTATTGGTCCGAGCACTGAACCCTGAGGAACTCCATGACTAACTTTGGTGTATGAAGAAGATACATTAGTTACATTTACAAATCGAAATCTATAAGATAAATATGATTTAAACCAATTTCATAACTAATTAGCATAGGTGAATAGTTTAAATCAAACGGCAAAGGCCAAGCTTAAACATAAAAAATACAGAAACTGTACAAGACAAGTACAAATCACTTGTTTCAAAAGACAAAGAAAATGTCTAGGTGTGCTAAAAAATGTATTCAACTCTCAAAAAAGCTAAATACTTGGGATGCACAATATTGGATTTTTGGCCGATATCTGATATGCCAATATGTTAAAACTTATTTGGCCGATAACGATACCAATACCGATTTTAAAAATTTTCCTAGACCTACTTACAGACTACACAACTTTCTCTGCTGTGGAATTAAAATACTACATTATTCTGCATGGTTTTTGCCAGTTTGGCCTGCTACCAAATGCAGATGACAAAAAAGGAGCTGAAAATGATGTAACACTTCAACTTGGATTATGTTTAATGTCAAATTTATTCATGACATCTACTCTCTCTAACACAATGACAACGCTCGAACAGTGCAAACTTGTAAATTCTCACAAATCTAAACTCTACCTGTTCACAAGCGACAAGTAAAAAGCGCATAAGTAGTAGTGCATGAATAGATATACTTGATAATTTCTTCAATTAAAAAAACAACTTGACAGAAGACCTTTATATCAGTGAGTTATTTTGGTGGAATGGCCGATGTACGATATTTAACTTTATCGCTATTATCGGCCGATACTGATACCATGCTGATAATATCGTGCATCCCTACTAAATACACTGTACTTAAATTAAATAAGTAAAAAATACATATAATATTACAAGACTGGTAAACAATTTTGTAAATTAACTTTATAATAAAATGAAAAATAAAATAAAATGTGACCGTTACCAAAAAGCTTCATGCATTTATTAAGTTTGTTTGCTAATTGAACTCTTACAATCAAACTAAATGATTAATCTAATCTGTAAAAAACAAATAAAACACTAAAAGGGTCTACACAAAAAAACTAAGGGGAATAAAAAAACATTTATTCAGTCTAAATAAATAAATATAAAGCATAAAGCAGCGATGTGGTCAGTACCCAAACAGAAAGCTGTTAAAGGAGCAGTTCAGCCTAATTTACACAAAGACTCGTCAAATCAAGAAGGGGTTCTCTGCAGAGCAAAAGTGGGCGTTTCTGGAGAATAGGCGTTTGTAGATTGCAAACACTGATTGGCTAGCTGTATTTGCTGACTCTTTAGGAAAGTTACGTCAACTCTTTTTTTAAACTGAAGGTTTCTAACAAAAGCTAAAAACTAAATGTTCTCTTTAGAAGTGTCTTCTGTGAGATCTGATCTATGAAAGGAGCTGAAACATGGAGTACGGTTGACCCTTAAAATGTGAGACAGCTGAGGAAGTTAACCAGTAAACAGAAATACCTGCTCCAGTTGCAGAAATCTGACAGAAACTGACAATCACTCATCTGCGCTGACTGCAAGTTGAACAAGAAAATGTGAAGTTAAAGGAAACATCCTTTGTCCCAAGGCCACTTTAAGTATCATTGTTATTATTATTTATTATTTATGAATCGATTGTAACTATTGTCACATTATTCAACAACCAAAACATATTGTTTTTTAATGTAACAGCTAGGTATTAAAAACACAAACATTTAGCCCTACCCACTACCCATTTATGTTGCTCTTATTTTGAAATGTAACTGGAAGTTCTGTGTTAAAAGAGGCAGAAAGAGAAGTTATGGAGACGCCGCTAACGTCGAACTGGTTAACACCATAGACATAATGTCAGTGGTTAACACAAACGCCTTGGTTTTTTTTTTGTCCAGCCTTGTTTTTGTTTTTTGTCCAATCAGATGTGGCCCTCAAGATACGCCTTTTATCTTATAGTTTAATCAGATGTGGCCCTCTAGATATGCTTTGTTTTTTATCGTCCAATCAGATATGGCCCTCTAGATATGCCTTGT